TCCGTGACGTGATCGCCGTGCGCGAATAGCCAGCAAGCCAACCACGCATCGAGCGTTCGAAAAAGACGCCATAGGAGCCGATACGACGCAGTAGCGCTCGAAAGAAAGAGCCACTGTGGCCCGAGACTAATTCCATGGTGACCCTTTCCTTCTCTTCTACGCATCATTCTTCCTCCTCTTTCTCTTTCTCTTTCTTCTTCTTCTCCTTCTCCTTCTCCTTCTCCTCCTCCTCTCCCTTCCTTTCGTTTCCTTTTGCGTCTACGATTCGGTACGAGCCATCGTGTTTTCGGTACGTTGAACCGATACCCTAGGTGACTTCTATTTTTACGAAATACCGACCGTTGAAGTTTACGACTTTAAATTCACGCGATGCAGTGGCGCGCAAATTACATTCTAAACCTGGTATAAATTTTAACTTTCCGACGAGTTCTAAATTTCGAAACGTAATACAAAGGGAAAAACAGGTCTGAAAATTCGCAAGTGAACCTGATCTTTCGTGGCAGCATAGGCGCAAGCCTGGTCTTTCGTTTGCGAAGCGGCTGACAGGTGATATGCGCGAAAGCGAGTGACAAAGCGAGAGAGAGCTAGGGTGAACGGCGGGTGCAAGAGAGGGAGCGATAAACGGGAGGTCGGACGGTCGGTCGGTGTCGACGGACCGGCAAACGCGAACACAAACACTTCATAGTAGAACGTAGCCGCGTAGTGAATGAAGCCTGCGGCCTACTGCCTCCCCCTTTCAGTTCGTGCATCCCTCGTGCCCTCGCCTCGACCCTCTTCCCTCTCCCTTCTCCCACCACTCCATTCCCCGCCGTTTCGTCGCTCAGTCGATCGCCTTCCCTTTCCCCTTTAGCCACGCTTTCCCCCACCACTCCACTCGGCGTCTACTTGATGTGTGCGTGTGTGTATATGCGCGCTCTTCCCCCCATCCCAGTGCATCGCCGCGGCCAACAATGTAGCAATGTACGTGTATCCATCTTCCTTCGTTTCACTAGATGTACACGCGGCGCGCAGCCACCGGTATATATACCGGTATTATACGCGAGACAGCTGCTACGTCGCGACACACGGATCGGCCGGACGACGAATCAAAAGCGCGGCAGATCGTCCGTTTCCGGCACGGCTAATCCGATCGAAACGGTTTTCCAACCGACGACGAATATGTAATCGTTACCCAAGGGTGGTCCGTTCCAAATTCGGACAGCGACGAATATATATATATTTATATTTTTTTTTCCTCTTTCTCTCCTTTCCTTCGATAATTTTCTCCAAGATATTCTCGGAACAATTGTTGCTTTCGTGGCGCTCGAGTTTGATCATTTCTGCGGCTCGAATTTCGAAACCGTTTCACCGTTCGCGATCAAATATATTACTCCGATTAACGCGATACGGATTGGCGGCTGTGGACAAATAGCGGTAGGCGGACGCGTCGAAGCGACGGATCGACGCGTATGACGGATGACGTCAACTGTTGTATTTCTCTTCTATTTGCATCTCGTGCGAATATTTCAACTTCTGTCGCGTTCTATCCCCTCTCCCCCTGTCAACGGAAAATGCAATTGCGAGCAACCGGTTTCGAAATTTTGAATTTCAATTGTGCACATAGTAGCACATTCTACCTCTTTTTTTCGTACCTCTTTTTCCCGAGGGGTGAAACCGCTATCGTCTTAGGCTAATCCGGTGGGATTATATAGGCCGTGACGGGTTTCGTAATTATGCGTACACCTTGCGATCACCGACCCCTTTCGCAGCCCATAGAGACACGAGTTTGCTCGAGTTGAGTCGCTCGTTTCCCAAAAGACTCAACCCTCTACATTTTCCCACGCGGTCGGATGTCGTAGAACGATCGATAATAGTGAACAAGGTAGAAACGCGTTTCAAAACACAATCGAGTTGTTTTCTAGGTCTTTGCGCTTCGGGTCGAAGCACCCGTAGAACTTTCTTTTCTTTTTTTTTCTCTCTCTCTCTCTCTTCTTTTTCTTCTACCTTGCGCCTCGACTCGCAAACTCGTCCAAGTATCTGAAAGACTCTTTGTCAAACCCTCGTTCTCTCAATGTCCCTTTATTACGTATTCTTGCCGAAGAATCGGCCATTTTTTTCGCCAATTTCGAGTTTTACACAAATATGTTCGCAAATTCGCCTCGAGGACGATCCAGTTCCCTCGACTTTTTTAACACCTCGCTGGTTCGCTCGTTCGGTGTTTTACGTAAACGGGGTTGCTCGAACGGATTCGTCGGGCGTTTTAAACGCCAATCGGGTTTTCAACTCGGTCATAGCTCGTGACTAATTGCCAACTTCTCCGCCCGATGCGGCTTTCTCAGGAGCCATCATCGATGCCCGCATTATCCCGTCCTTCCCTCCCTCCCTCCCTTTCGCGTTTCGCGAATCGAGACGACCTTTCGAAATAAACGATCCTTCCCATTGGATAGCGATGGTCGCCTGTGCGTTTTCAACGTTGTTGCGGTCACACTCTGTGTAATTTTGTTGCCGCGCGGAGAGAAATACGAATCTCGTAAAGATCCTGCAAAGACGGGAGACGACGACTGCTGGGATCGAAACGATCGGTATAAACTTGCGTCGAAATGCATTAACGTCCAGCCAGAAATGGGCTTTGGCGCGGCGTTGCTGGTGACCTTACGTTCTTGCCGAGCTTACGATTCCCTCGTAACCGCCGACTTGTCCACGTCTCGACGCCATCCTCGATCAACGGCCGAGGACGGAGGGGAGTCAATTTTCGAACGATAAGTACGATCGATCGATCTTGATCGTGGAGGGAAGGCGCGTTGGCGGAGAGAGAGGATTCAATCGAGAGGATTCAATCGAGCGGATCGCTCGGTACCAGGGCGCGTGCTACCGCGTATACGGCCCGGCTGACCCCTTCGTACACAATAAATCAATTATCGCTCGTTAGCAAGAAAAATGTACCTTCAATCGAATCACGTTACTTAACCCGAGTGTCATGGTAACCAGCACGGTGTTTTGCAACCACGCGCCCGTAACGCACAATCGTCTTGTTTTTCGATGCGTGTTTAACGCGTGAATTCTTTCCCCTATATCATTGGCGGGGATATCGGTTGGGCGGCGTGGACCCTGGTTGGCGAGAGAGAGAAAGAAAGATTCCATCCTACCAACAGCCTAAATTACTTGGAACGTGTATATATATATATATATATATATGATTCGGTTGCGAAAACGGAATTAACCACGTCTAATTTACGCGGATAGAGAAATATCGCTACCGTTCGTTGCGCGCGATCGGCCGTAAACGGGATTATCCGGGATCGTGAGAAGCATCGCGGTCGGTGAATGGACATTCCACCCGGATCAAGGTACGACGTGGAACGATATTAGAAAATGTTGCGGACGACGAGGATCGGTATGCGCGCGCATAAAATCGTCGTTCTCGACGAGCCATCGTTCGTATTCCTTTCGTTCGATCGGAGGGGGGGGGGGGGCGAACGGAAGGTGGACGAACCCCGCCGATTATTAATTTACCAAGCTCTTTGGAAGGAGAAAACCAGTCAAAGAGCGGACGATACGTCGCTTTGAAAACAGAGCGACGATTTCACGGTCCAATGGAATTAATATTAGATACTGTCTCGTCTAGTTATAAAGCGCGGAACGAACCAACTCGAGGGAGTTTGCGCCGCCCGTCCATGTAATCCGTATGCGAATAACGCTCCCCTCCCTTCGATTTAATACCGCGCGGAGATCGCGAAACGGCGAAATGCCGGCCGAGCGTAACAAAGGATCGCGGAAACGAGTTTTATCAAAACCCGATGGCCTGGATTCGTTCGTCCCGAATGAATGACGACGATGACGATGACGATGATGATGACGCGATTATCGAAGTATGCCCCTCTATTCTTAGAAACCGGGTACGTGGCTAGCACGCTAGCCAACTCGTTAAGTATTCCGCATCGAGCATGCGTGAGCCTCTCTCGTTTCTGTGCTAACGATGCCCGTTTCGAGCTGTCCGAGGTAATTGAATTTCAAAGCGGCGAGACCGAGTTGTTGTAAAAGTAAAAGTAAAGTAAAGTAAAGTTTTCCTCGGCCGAATCCACTTTATTTTACTCCCTCCCTCGACCGAGTAAGCAATTTTTTCCCCCGCGCGCGAGGAGGGGGGGAGGAAAGGTTCCGTGCGAAAGGGGATTAAAGGCGATGAGAAGCGCCGTTTGACCGCCTCGAAGCGGAATTTCGCAAACAAACGTATTCCTGGACGATGATTCCTCCCTCCCTCTCTTTCTCTCTCTCTCGTTCCCTCCTCCTCTCCTCGTGGCGAATATTACCGGCCACGACACGTCCATCCAACAGCGCGCTTTTCCAATTTTAACCGGATTTATAGCCCCCGGGATCCTTCAATCTCGACGCATCCTCGACGCGTTCTCCGTGACTCATCGTGGGGATAGGTTTACGACGAGAGAGAGATAGAGAGGAGAGAGTGGAGACTGTATAATCTTACTTTCCTCCCCTCTCTCTCCCCTCCCACTAAATTATTCCCAGACACCTCGACGTTGTTCAGCCCGGAACAATTTTCCACCGAGACTCGTTTCCGCGAAAACGAAAGCCAGCTAGCAACATAGAGCTTCAATCTTCCTTTTCCACCCGCGATCGAAGCTTACGTAGAGGAAACAGTTTAGTTTCGGAATTCCTCTCGACGAGATAACTCGCCAATATATATATATATATATATATATATTTGGAGAGAAGGAGACGATCGATGGCTCGAGGAATCGTGCGATCGGGGCGAATGGAAAGATTTAAGAAGAGGAGCGTGTTGTTACGCGCGTCGGTAACGCGGCGCAAAACGCGCGCGAAGAGCATGCGTTAACGAGGCCGATTAAATCGCGCGCAGTCTCCGGGTTAAATATTGACGCTGTTCCCCGTAAAATTCATGGGAACATTTATCTCCTCCTATTTACTTTGCGTGCCAAGTACACCAAGCACTTCGTCTCCAACGCTTGCTTAAACGGGATAAATTGAAAGCGATTCTCTGATTTCAGGATATTATTGTTCATCGATGGTGGGAGGAAGATCGAGGAGAAGGGGAAAGTGTTTTGGGACGCCTCGTGCGTAAGGACGAGCAACAAGGGGAGCAAGGTAGAATAAGAACGCGTTTGGGAGGGAGAGGATACGTGGGCAGGATAGCGAGGATTCACGGTTCGGCTGTCATCGAGTTCGACGCGATCGATGGCGGCACACAGCCACCGGTGTCATTTCTTCGCCAGGAGAGACTGATATTTGGCTCATTCTCGACACGGGATTGGGCTCGAGCAATAGTACAAGACCGCGAGAAGAGATGCCTCTTCCACCGACGTTCCAACGACGTTGCGCCTCCGACTGGTCCTGAGCCCAGCCGATCTTCCTCGAATCTTCGTCCACCGCCTCTTTCGAGTCTACCCCTTCTTCCTCTTCTTCCTCTTCTTCCATTCGAGGGGAGAGAGGGAAGGGAGGACGGTCGGGCAGGGTAACGAGGAACCGGAAGACTGGATCGAGGATTTGGAGGAAGATGCACGAGGAGACGACGACCACGGGAGACGTTCGGATGTGAGGAAGAGGGGAAAGGGAAATATCTGGATTATCGAGGCGGACAAAGGCGGAGAAATTGGCGGTGTATCACCGCCTGCGAGAAAGGCGGGCATGGAGTCGTCGACGTGGTGCACGCGCAGGCTCGGTGGTAGCGTAGCGACGTCCGCGGAGTCGACGATCGCCGTGGCGAAACTTCGCACGACGGCCTCCTCCCGTCTCTCGGGCGACGCTCGGCTCGCCAACGGTCGTCCTTCCACCGCTGCGGTCCCCCGAGTCGACCCCCAACCCTGCCCTTCCGCGCCTGCACCCGCGCAACACCACGACCACGGACCTTACCTGTCGCTCTGCGACCTCTGCGAGCGGCTCCGCGGCGGCCGGGTCGACGTCTCGGATCGGCGGCGCGGAAAGGAAACGGAGGGAGGCCGGGATCGGATGACGGGATGCGGGCAGCGGCCTCCATCCGCGAGGATATCCACGGATCCGAGCGAGCGACCACGGCCCAACCCCGACGACGACCCTTCCTCGAGCAGCTACGCGTCCAGCGTGGTGCGGTGGAACCCGACCAGGACGACGGGGAGGTCGCCCGCAACCGAGCAGCAGACGTTCACCTGGACCATTTTGTTCCTATTGGTACTCGTGTTCTCCGCTTCCGCGGACCTGCAGAAGGCTACGTCCAGAGAACGTTCCTCCAAAGAAGAGGGAGGTGAGTCGATCCGATTTGCTTTCGTTTCGATCGTTCGATCATCGACGCTTCGTACGCCCAAGTTTCTCTGAACGAATTATATATATATATATATATATATGAAAATATATACGTCGCGCGTTCGATAATCTACAAAACTTGCATGCTTCCTTACCTACTTAGCTCGACGAATCCGTCGAATTTCTTCATCGCTCGTAGAGCGCGCGAGTATATTCGACCACCGATTTCGAGAATACTCGCTTAGAGTAGAACGTAGAGTAGACTTTCTCTAAACATTTTTTCTTTTTTTTTTTTTTTTGGAACTCTTCTCCAGAGGAAAGCATTTGTAGCAAGGTCGTATGACGAGCGCATCGCTAGCACGACCGTGTTTGCCGTTTGTGGATGCGCTTGAAAATATTGACCGCATCTATCCGTTTCCACTCGACGGCCGCGCGAATGCAAATATTAATTAATTGCCGGCTAAATTGCAGCTCGGATATCGGATTCGTTGATTTTTCCCCGTCATCGATGGTACCCTCCATCCATCCATATCGAGTTATCGAAAGGCAATTTCGCATTTTTTGACTCCCGGGGCTCGATACACCTCTGAGCCCCTGTTGCTCGGTGAAAAATTATTCGTTCCATCTCTCTCTCTCCCTCCCCCTCCCTTCCATCCCTCTCTCGCGATCGTTACTACGAATCGAGCAAGCGGCTCGTCGAGTGGAAAGCGGAGGGGCGGGGAATGGCCATTAAACTCATTACTCACCGTAGTAGGTCCGTGTGTAGTGGACGAATCTTTGACTAACTTTTGTCGTCGTGGACGAAGAGGGAACTCGCGTAATGCGTAATCGAACGAATATTTCCGTTCGAGATATCCGGGGGAGGGAAAGGGGGAGGGAGAGGAGTTCATTTCATTTTTCCGTCCTTTTTTCGCCGAATTTCGCGAGTTTCCCTCTCTCTCCCTCGTACAATCACGCTTAAACCAGTGTAAATTACTTTTGCGCTTGGAAAGCGTAATACTCGTAAAGGGAGAATGATGCCCCTCGGTGGTTCGGTTCGAACAAAGGACTCGTCCTTTTAAAATAATACTATGGCTATTTCCCGGGAGTGTGTATCTCTTTAATACGTTTAATTTGTACGACAGCGTTATCGCGTTTATTACGGATGCGCCTCCCCCTACGTGACGTAGATTCGTATTTCTATTCTTTGAAAATTTGTCAAACACGCGTATGTGTATATATATAATTTTTAATATAGAATAATAAATAGAATAACACGCGTATAGGCGTATTCTATTTCCTCGTCGGTTGGAGGAGGACGGCCTCGATGTTTAAACGGGATAGTCAAGTTAGGGGAAAAGTTTGGAGAATCGGGGCAGCGGGCGAGTCACGCGCGACGTTGAGTGGCGGAGACAGAGGAGCGAATCGAGTGGAGGTAAATGGGCTGGAAATATTTAACCCGACGCCTCCACGCCTCTTTCCGTCTCGTTGAATTAGCGAATGAGGGAGAGGGAGCAGGTGAAAAGGAAGCTGCTGCTGCTGTTGCGGTTTTCGACCCCCAACGCGCAAAATTTTTCGTCCCCGTGTTTCGATCGAGGGAGAAACTTTTGATCGATTGTGAAGAAACGCGATTGCAAACTCTTCTCACAGAGATGTCCTCGAACGTCGGTTGGAGGCCGGGTTGCGGTTGACCTTCGACGCAAGCAAAACTTGAAACGCAACGATCGTAAAACTTTGTCTCCCTCTCCGTTCGCTCGATTCGGTCGAAACGACGACTCGACTCGACTCGACTCGACTCGACTCGATTCGATTCGCAGCTCGTTCGTCCACTCGTTTATAATCGCTACCCTCGTTTCGTTCGTTCGTTCGTTCGTTCCCTCTTGTTTCGCCCTCCCCGTTTTATCGAACAAGCAGTTGAACATCGAAGACGTCGAGCGAGGAAACTGTCGGTCGGTTAAACAGGATGTTATCTCTGCAAGTATCCGATCGAGATGCAAATTTGCATTTCGTCGATGCTACTCTCGACCCTGTATTATTATATATATATATACATCGATTTCATCGATTCGGAAGTCTCGTTTATCCACCTCGTCGATATCGATACAAGGAAAGGAAAACGGAAGCCGATTTGATCGATCGCTACTATTACTACTACTACTACTACTACTCACTCGAACGAACAATTAGCCGGTAAAAATGTTATCGATCCGGGAAGATCGTGTAACGGAAAGGCGATTTCGAAGCTGGTCATTTCTCTCGAAACATAATAAATGATCATTTATAAAATTTAAATTTATATATACTTATATTTATACTAATTTTATAAATTTTATAATTGATTAAATAAATAATAAACTACTATTGTAAATAAATTTATTAATTAAATTAAAAAAATTAAATTTAATAACTTAATTTAATTTACAAATTAAACAAAATAACCAAAAATCTATTAAAATTAAACTTAATACTTAATTTAACTACAAATTAAATATAATAACCAAAAAAACTAAAAAAATTAAATTTAATATAATTTAATTTACAAATTAAACAAAATAACCAAAAATCTATTAAAATTAAACTTAATACTTAATTTAACTACAAATTAAATATAATAATCAAAAAAACTAAAAAAATTAAACTTAATACAATTTAATTTACAAAAAAATCTATTAAAATTAAAATTAAAACTTAATTCAACTACAAATTAAATATATAATAACCAAAAAAACTAAAAAAAAAATTAAATTTAATATAATTTAATTTACAAATTAAAAATCTTTCCCCGCGAGATAAGATCACTTTCTAAGGCGAGTGAAATAGCGTTGAATTGGCAGGGAGCAGCCGCCCGTTCCGGGCGAAATTCTAGGCTCGCGGCGCGCGAAATTCGTCACGCGATAGTTGGGTAATAAAGGATAGAAAGGAGGAGGAGGGAGAAAACCGCGTCGAAAGTCGTAAACGCCGTGGCCCTCGTACGACGCCGGTAACCCGTATTTCACAGGGCCGGGGCCAACTTTGTTTCGAGCGGTGCTAAAAACGAAACGAACGATCGGCGGCCGTCTCTCATACGGCGGAATTATGCAAATAACGAGGCTCCACGTATCCACGATGCCATTCCGGGATCCCGAACGCCGCTACACACAGATAATATCGGACCATTCTTCGTATTTCTGATCCCGTCTCCCCCCCCTCCCCTCCTCTCGCCCTTCTCGTTCTCTATCCGTTAACGAGAAAGGATCGCGATAAAATTGCGTGCGGAGCAACTCGATCGTCGGTCGCGATAAAATTATCAATTTGATTTAACGCGAGAATAAAGTGAGAGAGGAAGAGAGAGAAAGAAAGAGGGGAGAGGAGGAAAATAATTAAGAGAAATATTATTTTAATTCGATTCTTATCCACTCGATGCGTGGTATTTCTTTTTTTAACCGCAGTACGCGTAGGGTAATAAAGCTCGACAACCGTGAAAAACGAATCTCTCTCTCTCTCTCTCTCTCTCTTCCCCTCTCGCCGAGGACCTCGATCGAAACTTCTTCTTCTTTTTCTTCTTCTTCTTCTTCTTCTTCTTCTTCTTTTTCGAGGAGAACAGGTGGCTGGCGATTCGACTCGCACGTTCCTCCCCCCCCTAATTTTTTACTCGCTCTCTCTGTCTCCGGACGAAGTGTAGCCTCCTCGTTCCTTCCCAGTGGATCGTTTAATCGGTCACAGGTCGGTAATCTGATCGCTTATTCGCGATCCCTTGTTTACCAGCGCGGGCAGGTATCGCGGCGCTGCGATCGCGCGTGCCCCCATTTTCATCGACAAGAAATATTATTCGGGGAAAGATTGCACGGAACGATTTTGCGACACCGAAAGAAAGGGCACACGCAGTGAGAGAGAGAGAGAGAGAGATTACTAATTGGCAACCGCACGCGCAGGAAGCACGCGGTACGCCCCGAGAAAATCAAATTAAAACGCGATTATACAAAACTCGGCACGCCGCGTTAATTCCCCCGACGCTTCCGCCGGAAATTGAGTATTCGAGCGCGGCGATACGGACACGGAACAGGATGCCATTTACAGCGAATTCATCGTCGCCTCGCCGAGCCGTACAACCCCTTCTCGCTACTTTACTACTCCGCGTCTTCCCTACCCTGCCATAACCATTCCCATCGATTCACCGCCTCCCCTTTATCGCTCCTTTTCTCCCTTCCAATCACTTAATCCGTTCGAATCTTATCTTCGCCTCCTCTCTCTCTCTCTCTCTCACGTACTACGTACTTTTTATACATACATATATATATATACGATACATACATATATATATACGAGATACGACGATCGATGGATCGGCCACCGTGTTCCGTTACTCTCGAGCAACCAACTCCCTCCCCATTAATTAATTACCCTCGATTAACGGTGTTCGATCAACCCCGCGATTCGAGGATTTTAATAAAAAAAAAAAAGTGAAATCTGGAAGGAGAGAGGCGAAGATAGATAGATCTCTCGCGATTGTTATTGAGCGTCGTTTCAAAGACGAGGGGAATAATATATAATCCCACGTAAAATACGTAAATCGCGTAAAAACGTAAACTCTTGGCGATTTAAGGTCCCATTGTTCTCCGTCAACCTTTCGTTGTAATACGTAATATGTATAATTTCCACCTGTCCCCGCCTCTAATTCCCCGACCTCTGTTAATCCCTCCGCGGACGTCGTGTCGCGAAGGGATGAAAATTAACGTTCTCCCGGCTCTCCTCGCGGGATACGTATTGTGTGTACAAAGGCGGGGCGACAGCGGCGATGAAATTGATGGAAAAAAGGGGGAGGGGGAGAGAGAGAAGGGGGAGGGAATGCGCAGAAATAGAGAAAAGGGGGAGGGATGGATTATCTGGACACACGTATGCGGAACGAACTGGACACGATGGACCGTATCCGTTTTATCGGGTGCACGCGAGCACGCGAGTGCAGCCGCGTGAAAACAGCTTTAAAAAGCGATAGGACAATCCGCGCCGTAACCGAGCTCTGATATCTCCTATCCCTCTCCCTCC